CAGTCTCTCACTGCCAGGACCTGAGTGGAGGTTCCTGGAAAGGACATTTGTCAAGGTGAGGATGACCCAGAGTTCCCCTGGAAGGATCCCACGTACGCATTTTCTGTGAGCAGTTAGAAAACCTATGGGCTGGGCCCAGCCCAGCAGTGTGACCTAGCAGCTAAAGTCCTCGCTTTCAACGTGCCCGGGATCCCATATGGGCGCCGGTTCTAATCCCGGCAGCTCCACTTCCATCCAGCTCCCTGCTTGTGGCCTGGGAAAGCAGTTGAGGATGGCCCAAAGCCTTGGGACCCTGCACCCATGTGGAAGACCTGGAGGAAGTTCCTGGCTCTGGATCAGCATAGCACCAGCAGTTGCATTCACTTGGGGAGTGAATCATCAGATTTTCCTATCTCCTCCTCGCTATATATCTGACTTTGTGATAAAAATAAATAAATCTTAAAAAAAAAAAAAATACGGGCACACGCTGGGCTGGGAACAAGTTTCGACACAAAAGGACCAGTAATGCAGCCGAGCTGCACATCGGGAGCTGAGGGGGGACCTGTGAGCGCAGACCACGATGCTGTTACAGCCCTGTGGACCCCATGGCTGCAGGCACCATCGGGATTGAGGTGTGCCGTGTCCCCGACCTGGAGAGCATGGCCTAGAAGCACCAGCATAGAGGGAGACAGCGCATTCACCACAGAAGACCCAGAGGTGCTGCAAGATAGGGGCCCTGCAGGACTCAGCTGTGCAGTCCAGGTGTGTGCAGAGGACACGGACAGGCTCAGCCATGCAGTCCAGGTGTGTGCAGGGGACATGAACAGGCACAGCTGGGTAGCCCAGGTGTGTGCAGGGGACACGGACAGGCTCAGCCGTGCAGCCCAGGTGTGTGCAGGGGACACAAACAGGCACAGCTGGGTAGCCCAGGTGTGTGCAGGGGACACAAACAGGCACAGCTGGGTAGCCCAGGTGTGTGCAGGGGACACAGACAGGCTCAGCTGTGCAGCCCAGGTGTGTGCAGGGGACACGGACAGGCTCAGCTGTGCAGCCCAGGTGTGTGCAGGGGACACGGACAGGCTCAGCCTATGGGCAAGACATGAGGGATGATGCAAGATTCTGAGCTTAGAGACAAGGGAGCCGGGGCCCCTGGCAGCGTCCCTTGGCTCTGGCACCACTCCACAGCCAGGCGGGGAGAACAGGGATGAGGCTGGAGCAGTGGTTGTGGGCCCCACTCACCCAGGGCCTCTTGGCAGTTGAGGACCTTGAAGCCCCCATACATGCAGGCCGCCAAGAGCAGGTGATGCTGGAACGGGTGCCAGCGGAGCCGCCACACACCACCCTGCACGTGCGTGTCGGCCATCGGCTGCTTCATGTGCCGCGTGTCCCACAGGAAGATGTGCTCGTCATAGCTGGAAAAGCACAAGGAACGCCACTGCCTCTCACCTCAAGGGACGAACGCCACCGCCTCTCACCTCAAGGGACAGGGATATTTCCAGGATACCCCACTTCTCCCCAAAGGACATGGACATGGTCCCCTGGGGCACTCACCTTCCCGTGGCCAGGACATGCTCCCTGAAGGGGCTGCTCTGGATGCTGCACACACCCATCGAGTGTCTGCAAGAATAGGCAGCTCCTAAGTTGGACCCAGGAACCCAGGCAGGGTCTGCCCGGGGGCGGGGGGGGTGCTGAGGAAGGGAGGGGACCAGCAGGAGGGCGGGGGGGGGAGGGGACTGGGAGGAAGGGAGGGGACCAGCAGGAGGGGGTGGGGGAGGGCCTGCCATGCCAACCCTCAGCCAGTACCGCCTGCTGGTGAAGACAGAGGTGCCAGGAACCCGAGTGTCCCATCCACACAGAAGGCCATCATCTCCCCCTGTGTGAACAAGCACGAGGGGCTCGGCTGGGGGCTCCTGAGGGAAGCGGCAGGCCAGCCCGAGACATGGCTCACAGCTGGACAGGTGGTGCAGGCAAGGGCAGAAGTGGCCATTGCTGAGACCGCAGATGTGAAATGTGCCCACATCCTGGAGGAGTAGGTCTACAGCAGCAAAGGGACAAAGGTCCAGGTGGCCACCAACAGTGAGGCCATGGCTGTGCTGGAACAGACAGTGACCAAGACAGACAGGGACATGGAGGGACCCCGGGGGCTGGAGCTCACGGGATGGGGAGTGCTAGCCAGGAAGGGCAGGAGCCCCTCCACACCTCACCACCCACTGGGGGACAGGCTTCTTGGGTGCATACCCCACCCAGGCTGGAGGAGCAGGAAGTGGGGCGTGCAGGGGTCCTCACTGTGCCAAGTCACAGCCCTGCATACTCCAGCAGGGAGCTTTCCCAGCCAGGCAACTCACCCGAGTACACAACTTGAGTCTGCCAGTAGTTGAAGGCAGCGATCCAGGCCTCAAAGCCATGGGCCTGCCAGGAGGCCACAGCCTGCAGTCGGGAACCTTCTCCCTGCACCCTCAGGAGGTGGATCTGCCCCTTGGAGTCGCTGCTGACGATGTGCACGGGCTGGGCACCAGTGCTGGACATGAACCCAGAGAAGCCCAGCTGGATGTGAGGGGCCGGCAAGGCCCAGCAAGCACTCGGCATGCGCAGACATGTCATGAGGGGGATGTGACTGCCGCCAGGCCTCAGCCCGGACACAGAGGGAAGCCCAGGCACATGCAGCAGCCAGCAGAGAACAGGACGTGACCCTCCCAGCAGCACAGACAAGGGGCCTCACCTGCCGGGCTTCCCAGTGGACCAGTCCAGGGACAAGGCCATACACTGCTGGTCTAGGACGAGGCTGGACACGGGCTCCAGCGTGCAGCTGCTGTCTGCCCCGAGGCTGTCATCATCCTTTCCCTGCTCTCAGCGGGGACAAACCAGGGGAAACTGCAGGAGCCTGGAGGAACATACTCCTGCAGCCTGCCAACACCGGCCCTCGCCCCTGGGGACAGAAGGACTCACTCGGCTCCACCCCAGCAGACACAACCAGGTGCCTTCTAGTGGGGCCTGTGTGCCCCAAGGCCTACACAGCTTGGCAGGGGCATTCACACACACGGCGGCCCCTGGGGCCGAGCACCCGTGCAGGAGGGACAGCCCGCGCAGCTCCCTGGGGACAGATGGCGCGCCTTTTCTCTTCCACGCCATCGAGGTAACCTGGCAGCTTTCACAGCACCAGCGCCTCCTGGAGCGCTGCCTGACACCCTCTGCCCTCAGCCTTGGGCCCTGTTCACACACGTCTGTCTGCTCAGAACCATGATGTCGGTGTGGCCCCCTCCTCAGTCACTGCACACGGGACACACGGGACGGCTAGAGACAGTCATTCTGCGCACTCCCACCACCCACCCAGGGGTCCATACTCTTCGCTCTTAATTTTATAAATTTATTTATTCAAGAAGCAGATTACAGAGAGAAACACAGATGTTTCATCTGCTGCCTCATCCTGGAAAAGCGGCCAATGACCCAGGCTGGGCCAGGTCCAGGCCAGGTGCTGCACACATGGGCGGTGGAGCAGACAGGACCTGTGCCCACAACGGATGCTGGCGCTGCAGGCCCATGGAGCCGGACACCCAGCCACTGCCCACCCCCCGCAGCCCCGCAGCTGACCTCGGGTTCCACCAGACGGAGAAGCTCCACAGACCCGCATGCATCCGCCACCCCCAGGAGGGCCTCGCCGGCCACCAGGACGTGGCACCTGAGGAGAGAGGGAGGGCTGGCCCCAGACTCGCCCTACTCGGGACCACGCGTGGGGCTGCCCGGACCTACCACTTGGTGTCCAGGATGGCGTGACCATCCCTCCGGTGGGCCTCAACCAGCCGTGCGGCCGGGCGGTCCTCGCGGTAGCGGTACAGGTAGAGGCGGCCCGAGCGCACAGGGAGCAGGGCCGCGTCGGGCTCATCCTGCGGGAAAGCGCGTTATCACCCCATCCGCAGGGTCGCGGTGCAGCCTCCCCGCACTAGTACACCAAGTCCCGGACACGGGGTCCCTCACGCACCACGTCCCGCACCCGCCATCCCCCACGCGTACCAGGTCCTGCACCCGCCATCCCCCGCGCACCAGGTCCTGCACCCGCCCGCCATCCCCCGCGCACGAGGTCCTGCACCCGCCATCCCCCGCGCACCAGGTCCCGGACACGGCGTCCCCTGCGCGCCAGGTCCCGGACAAGGCGTCCCCCGCGTACCAGGTCCTGCACCCGCCATCCCCCGCGCACGAGGTCCCGGACACGGCGTCTCCCGTGCACCAGGCCCCGCACCCGCCGTCCCCCACGCACCAGGTCCCGCCACCGCCATTCCCCCGCGAACCTGGGCGCCCGGTGCGCGCAGCTGGTAAGTGCCGCATGCGAGGAGGTGCCGGCGCCCCTGCAAAGGACACCATTCCACAGAGTCCGCGGTGAGCTCCGTGTCCACCGCCTGCTGCAGCTGGAGGCGGCCGCCCCCCATGCCGCCCGTGTGCAGAGCACATCCGCAAACTCCTGTCCGTCCCAGCTTCCCGCCGCCCGGCGGCTTCCGGGCCGGGGCGGGACTTCCTGCGGGCGGAGCCGCGGACGGCGACACCTCCCGGAGCCGGACAAGCAGGCCGGGGAGCCGCGTGGCCGGGTCACTGTGCCCGGGCACGGCGGAGGGCAGCACCTGGACACCGGAGGCCTGAACAGACGCGCCACGGCAAGGCCGGGGCTGGAAGGGCAGGGCAGCCTGCCTGCCGCTGCCCACAGGGGTCACCCCCTCCACCCACTGGCTGGACGCGCATGTCACCGCTGCTCCTCCGGGCTGAGGGCCCCAGGGGACAGGGCAGCCCAGTTGGCGTGACAGATCCAATGCGCCCATGCTCTGTGCCTGGAGAAGCCGCGGGCCAGCTCCCTACCCAGCCTGTGCGAACATTGAGACCTAGGGGCCAGGGTGTGGCCGCTGCCCAGCAGTGCACACCTGTGCGCTGCGCTTGGGTCCTCCCAGGCACCTGTGTGGCCAGCGCTGGCCAGTGCCCCCACCCCCTGCTCTGCCGGGTGCCCAAGAGACAGACTTCACACGTGGCCTGACCCTGTGCCATCCGAGGACCACAGTAAATGATTCTATTTGTCACTTCTGACCTTCCCACTGTCCCACCCCCCAAAAAAACTGTACATGAGTTTACAAACATATTAACATATAAATAACGAGGGCGCCAGGGGGTGCTGGACCCCGCAGCTGTGGGATGGCCGCTGGCTTCGCGGCCACCTTCAGGTCCAGGCGCCAGTCTCGCAGCGCACCCAAGGGGCAGCTCCACGCCCCCTGGTCATCGCTCTGGCTCCAGCTCGTGCGGGCAGGGGCGCTTTCGCTCCCGACAGCGCTTCTTGTGGGCCGGCCAGTCCTTCTGCTGGCACTGGGAGCCGCAGTAACGAGCCACCTGGCAGCGTCCACAGATGTTGAACTCCCGAAGCTGGAACAGAGAACATGGGCTGCGGGTCACCGTCACGTCGGGCATGCGCAGACACCCCCATCCTACTGGCGTGGGCACTTAAGTCCCCCCGCCAGCCCTGGGTGGTACCGACCTGCTTCTCAATCACCGTGCAGGGCGGGTAGTGGCACTCGTAGTAGGTGCACGAGTTCTCCTCCTCCTCCACCACGTCCCCGTTGGCGTTGTAGTACCGGGTCACGTTCAGGACGGGGAACTGCTCCTCTATAGGGTCTGTAGGAAGCTGCTGAATGGCTAGCCAGTACAGGCTCTGCTCCCTGCAAAGCAGGACACTTCATCACACTCGGCCTGCCGCCTGCCCCTCCAGAAATGCTCACCCCCTCCACGGGGCACCAAGGCGCAGAGGCAGGCTGGGGAGGCAGTGTGTCCCGGACCGTCCTGCCCCGTGACTGTCCCTGCTTAGAGCGAGGGTGGGCCTGCGTCTGGAACATTGTGCGCAGAGGGCCCAGGTCCAGCCCGGCTCGCGCTAACACACACCTGGGCGGAGACCCCAGCAGCTCTGCACACCTGGCCTGGCACGCCCAGCCCCAGCTCTTCTGGGCATTTGGACAGCAAGGCAGCAGGTGACTCCCTGCCTTCCAAATAATAAATTAAAAAATTGAACTTGGTCAGTTTGTTTGTTTCTGAAGAGGGAAGGGTCAGGACGCAGGCCACACGGGCACCTTCTACTGCCTTTCACGTGGGGTCACAGGTTCAAATGCAGCCACCCCCTTGCCAAATAAGGCCTCCCTGCACAACCAAGCCCAAGCCATGTTGGCTGGCACGAGGCCCCCCACGGGCACAGGTTAGCGCATGGTGCCTAAAGGAGATGCCTCTGCAGCCTGGAGAAACCCACCCTCCATGCGGTAACACAGCCCTGTTTCTTTTTCAAAATCAGTTTTCCAGAGACTGTCTGCCTACCGATTCCCACCCCCGCAGTGGCCACAGCGGCTGGGGTCAGGTCAGCCAGGGCCAGGCGCCTACAGCTCAGTGTCTCCCGTGAGTGGCAGGGTTAGGGTTCCTGTGTTGCCCTCAGCTGCATCAGCAGCCAACGCGTGAACCAGTGCTCCTCCAGGCCGGTGTACCCTGCTACACCAGTACCAGCCCACCCTGGTTTTCTTTGTTGAAATACCCTCCCCACCCCAGCTCCTGGGGTACCGCTGGCCCTGCCAGCGCTGAGCCAGCCTGCAGCTCCAGGATCGGCCGGCAGCCCAGGTGGGCCACTATCCCACAAGTTGAGCTCTGGCTCCTGCACCCAACACCAGGCCATCACAGTTCCCAAAAGGATAAAAATTCTACAACCATGCGCAGTCACTTGTGGGTGAACCGGTGGGCGGAGAACTCTCATCAAATATTCAACACCCAACATCACGGCATGAGACGAGCCAGGTGGCCAAAGCTGCAGTGTATGGGCTACGCAGGCCCTGCCCAGCTAAGGGCCCATGCGGCAGCAGTCTGCCTCGTGTCTTGGAGTGACCCATGCACTGCCTGTGCCGGAGATGACCACAGCCTCCAGCCACCTTCCCAGGGCTCCAGAAGCCTCCAGAAGCCTCATGGGCTCTCCCCTGCCCTCGAGGGCAGCACGGCCGAGGACTCACCTCTGCTTGCTGGAGGCCTCCTCGGCTCGGGGCCGCCAGCCCCAAGGCACCAGCTGCAGGTTGTCCAGGCGGTTGTCCACAGTCACTGCGTTGAGATGTACTACCTGGAAGCCGGGCGCCACGCCACCCCGGTGCCGCTCCCTGGCAAACAGACCACGCTCTGAGCCCTGGCCTTCCATGGTGGCCCTCGTGCCACTGAAACCTGTCATGCATGTCTGCCTGTGGCCCCCAGTTTCGGGAGCCCGACAATCTAGAGTCAGGAAAGATGCCCCCAAACCAGGCCAACAGCCCCCAGGGTCAGCACACCTAGGGAGTCCTCCCATCCCCTGGGGTCTAAGGAGCCACGCTCTGCACATGGTCGCTCCTGGCGAAGGGAAAGGGGCACCCACCACAGCAGCTCGTGCAGAAGCCTGCCAGACCCCCGGCCTCGGTTCTTGTCAAAGGCATACGCGAAGATCTTAGCACCGTTTCCATCGGCATCCACCTCCATGCGGGCCTGAGGGACAGGGAAGGGCTGTGAGGCAGCCTCCTGCAGGCAAAGGGCCAAGCCGCCCTGCTCCCCATCCAGCTTGCTGCTGGCGGCCTGGGGAAGCAGTGCAGGACAGTCCAAGGCCTTGGAACCCAGCACCCACATGGGAGACCCGAAGGAGGCTATCGGCCCTTGGTCTCAGACGGGCCACCTCTGGCCATCGTGGCCAAGATGGAAGAGCCATCCTCTCCTTGTCTCCCTGTAATCCCACCTTCCAAATGAATAAACCTGAAACAAACCCAAAACTCACAAGAAGCTCCTCGTAAAGCATTATGGGTAAGAGACAGTCTCCCATCAGTGAGAAAGGGAAGGAGGCCATGGGACAGGGGGAACGGAGGCCACGGGATGGCGGATGGGTGTGGGGCTCTGCGGCCGGCCTGGCCTGCGCCTCACCTCGAAGGAGTAGCTCTCCACCAGCGGGATGTCCTGCTCGTCGATCAGCGTGTACTTGGTCTGCAAGTCAAACACAAGAATGTGTCACCTCTGGGCCTGAAGGAGGGCCTGGTGGGGCAGCCTGCGCACCACTGGACCACGCAGAAAGCCGGTCTCTTGCGTGGCCACTGCTCCATGCTGAGCGGGGACCGACAGTCTGGCCCATCGGCTGGACGCCCGCCTGCATGCCCCAGGTGGAAGTTGCAGGACGATGAGGCCGCGTCCAGAGGGGCAGGGCTCCCCAACAGTGCCCCGGACCTGCACCATCCCACACGTCCTGGAGCGGCAGGGGCCTCGGCCTCCATCCAAGTGGGGCCAGCACGGTGCAGCCCCGGGCCTCAGCCTCCCATCCACGGGGGCCAGCACGGCCCTCCTGGCCTCGGCCTCCGGCCACGCGGGGGAATAGGTCGGCCCCCCCGGCCTCTGCCTCCGTCCACGCGGAGCCAGCACGGTGCAGCCCCGGGCCTAGGCCTCCCGGCCACGGGGGCCACCACGGCCCTCCTGGCCTCGGCCTCCGTCCACGCGGAGCCAGCACGGTGCAGCCCCGGGCCCGGCCCAGCGCGGCCTCCACCTGCGGCGGCTCGGGCCGCCGCCTGGACCCCGCCTGGACCCCGCGCAGCCCGGGCCGCTCACCTTCCCGGCCACCCGGCCGAGCCGCACGATGCCCAGCTTGAAGTCGGTCATGGCCGGGCCTGCGCGCTCGGCCCGCCGCGCCGCTCCCACAGGGACGCCGGGCCGAGGCGCGTCCGGGCGGGCCGAGCGGGCTCCGGGCGGGATCCTGGCCGGCTCCGGGCGGGCTCCGGGCGGGACGAGGCTGCGCCGGGCTCGGGCCGTACCCACACCCCGGGCCGCGCCGCCGCCTCGCGCCCGCCGGCCCTGCCACGCGCCGCCGCCGCGCGCACCCCGCGAGCGCAGCCGGGGGCGGGGCCGGTGCCGACACGCCCCTCGCCGCCACCTGGCCAATCCCGGGACGCGCCCGCGCCGGCCGCCGCGCGCCGCCGAGCAGGGACCAACCGCGGCGAAGCTGGCGCGCAGGCGCGCTGCACGGCGGGGCGCGCGCGGGGGAGGGGCGCGGCCGGGGGCGGCGCCTGCGCGGCGAGGCCGGCGCGACGTCAGTTTCGCGGGAAGCTTTGTGCGGACCTGGGTGTGGGGTGCGGGGTGTGGGGTTCGTGTGCGGGTGTGGGGTGTGTGGCCCTGGGTGTGGGGTGCGGGCGTGGGTTCGGGTTCGGATGTGGGGTGCATGGCCCTGGCTGTGGGTTGCGAGTCGGGGTGTGCGTGCCTGGCTGCGGGGAGCATGTCCCTGGGTGCAAGGTGTGGGGTGCATGTCCCTGGGTGCGGGGTATGGCCCTTGGTGTGGGGTGCAGAGTGTGGGGTGTGCGGCCCTGGGCATGTGGTTTGCGGCCATGGGTGCGGGGTGTGCGGCCCTGGCTGTGGGGTGCATGTCTCTGGGTGCGGGGTGTGGGGCGACCCGGGCTGTGGGGGGGGGCCTGGCATGCCTGCCTCAGGGGTCCGCTCAGCGCCCACCTTCCTGCTGACTGGCTTGGGAGGGTTTTGCTGAGTGCCACCTGCCTGTCAGGGCTTGCGGTGGAGCTTGGCTGCTTGGTGAAGGTTCCATGAAGTACAGTGCCCAGGAGGGGCCTGTGGAGCTGCGTGTGGGCACCAAGTACAGGCCCTATACAGTGCAGGTTCTCCGGTTGTCCTGCGTGCAGCTGCCAACTCCGTTGTTTTTTTATTTGAAAAGCAAAGCTAGAGAGGAAGACAGAATCTTCTTGGGTGCATGGGTTCACTTCCCAGGTGGCCACAATGGCCAGGGCTGGGCCCCGTGGCAGCCAGAAGCTCTGTCCCAGCTTCCCAAGCGGGTGCAGGCCCCAAGCCCCCAGCCCACCCCCAGCTGCTGGATGGAACGTGGAGCAGCTGGGGCGCGACCCAGCGCCTGCCAGGGCAGGGTGTGGGCACCACAGGCCGAGTATCAGCTGGCATGGCTGGAGCACGACCCAGCGCCTGTCACGGCGGGGTGCGGGCACCACAGGCCGAGCATCAGCTGGCATGACTCTGGCCCCAGCAGCCCTCCACACTGCAGTGCTGCCCAGACCTGGATACCTTTAGAGGTGGTCACAGGTTCCCACCTGACATGCACTCTGGGAGGACGCCTGTGCCAACACTAACCTCCGAGTTATTCTCCACACCTCAACTCAGCAAAGCCTGTGTCCAAACACAGGAAGGGAAATGGCGGAAAGAGACAGATGCCATTTTGTGTCCCCATCGGAGTGCAGCCAGTGCCTGGCCAGGGCTCTGTCTTGAACCGCCCCCACCTGTGCTCCACATGAACTCACCTCCCCCAGGTGTCAAACAAACAGAAAAAGATTATGTAAGAATCTGATTGACAGTCCATCTGTGGGGGTTTTTTTTTTTTAGAGAGTTATTAATTTTTATTGAAAAGTCAGATATACAGAGAGGAGGAAAGAGAAGATCTTCCATCCAATGATTCACTTCTCAAATGACCACAACAGCCAGTGCTGAGCTGATCTGAAGCCAAGAGCCTCTTCCCAGTCTCTCACACAGGTGCAGGGTCCCAAGGCTTTAGGCTGTCCTTGACTATTGCCAGGCCACAAGCAGGAATCTGGATGGGAAGTGGGGCAGCTGAGATTAGAACTGATGCCCACATGGGATCCCAGTGAGTGCAAGGTGATTACTTTAGTAGGCCACTGCGCTGGGCCCAGGTTAGGACCATTTGGTTGCACATGGTAGAATTTCATTCTTTTTAATGGCTCAGTAGTATTCCACAAAATAGATGTAGCACAGTTTCTTAGTCCACTCCTTTTTTTTTTTTTTTGATGTGCATGTGTGTTGTTCCCTTGTGTTTGCTATTGTAGATTGTGCTGCTGTAAATATAGGATTACAGATTCCTTTCTTGTATACGATCTCATTTCCTCAGCCCACTTCTTACCCATGGAATGTTGGGGCCCAGATTCCTCTTATTGTGTACTGTCCCCCTTCCAGTTGACATACATCTGCCTAAGCCCAACGGAGGCAGGGCAGTGAGTTCAGCCACCATCTGCATTGCCCACATCCAGTGGGAGCAGCGTTTCCCAACCCAGCTGCTTTGTTTCTGCTTCAGCTCCCTGCGGATGCTCCTGGGAAAGAAGCAGAAACGTGGTGACAGGCGTGGAAGGAACTCCTGACTCCTGGCCTGGATCCCTGCGGATACTCCTGGGAAGCAGCAGACATGGTCCAACCCACGTGGTGAAGCTGCTTCTGGCTCCTGTGGAGAGACCCAGTGGATGGAAGATGGCTCTGTCTCCCTCTTCTGCAACTCTGCCTTATAAATAAATAAATCAAAATTAAGCAGACAAAGAACAATCTTTAAATAAGCCTTAGTGGGAAACAACCGTTGATCCCAATGCCGAAACATCCGTACTCCATGTTGGAGTGCTTGGCGGTGCTTGACAGCCCCAGCTGCCGCCTCAGCTTCTTGCTAAGTGAGGCCTTGGGGAGCTGGGCTCCTGTGCCTGTGTGGCAGGAAGGTTAGCCAGTGGCTAGAAGCATGCTGACTTTTCCCTTTCTGCTACTCTTTTTTTTTTTTTTTAAAGATTTTATTTTTATCGGAAAGGCGGATATACAGAGAGGAGAGACAGAGAGGAAGATTTTCTGTCTGATGATTCACTCCCCAAGTGAGTGCAAAGGCCAATGCTATGCTGATCCAAAGCCAGGAGCCTCTTCAGGGTCTCCCATGCGGTTGCAGGGTCCCAAAGCTTTGGGCCGTCCTCGACTGCTTTCCCGGGCCACAGGCAGGGAGCTGGGTGGGAAGCGGGGCTGCCAGGATTAGAACTGGCGCCCATATGGGATCCCAGGCGTGCAAGGCGAGGACCTTAACCACTGTGCCACTGCGCGGGGCCCTCTGCTACTCTTTTAAAGATTATTTATTTACTTTTATTCCAAAGTCATATATAGAGAGAGGGAGAGGCAAAGACTTTTACTTCTGCTTGTTCACTCCTCAAGTGACCGCAATGGCCAGAGCTGTGCCGATCCAAAGCCAGGCGCAATGGTCAGAGCTGTGCTGATCCAAAGCCAGGCGCAATGGCCAGAGCTGTGCCGATCCAAAGCCAGGGGCAGGAGTGTCTTCAGGGTCTCCCACGCGGGTGCAGGGTCCCAAGGCTTTGGACTGTCCTCTGCTGCCTTCCCAGGCCACAGGCAGGGAGCTGGATGGGAAGTGAAGCAACTGGGATTAAAACTGGCGCCCAAATGGGATCCCAGCACTGCAAGGCAAGGACTTCAGCCACTGGGCTACTGGACTGGGCCCACATTTATTTAATTTTATTGGAAAGGCAGATATACAGAGAGAAGGATTTTCTGTTCACTGCGTTCATTCCCCAAATGGCTGCCATAGCTGGAGCTGAGTCAATTTGAGGGCACAGGTTCCCAAGGCTTTGGACCATCTTCTCCTTTCCCAGGCCACAAGAAGGGAGCAGGAAGGGAAGTGGAGCAGCCAAGATTTGAACAGTCACCTATGAGGATTCCCAGCACTAAAGGTGGTATCTTTACCAGATATACTGCAGTGCTGGCTGCTAAAAAATGTATTGTAAATTGTATGTATTCAAGGCAGAACCACACAGACGGACGGCGAGTGAGAGGAGAGAGCAAACACTGCTGTCTACTTTCCACATGCACCAACAGCCGAGTCTGGGCCAAGTCGGGAACCTGGAGCTGTCACCCCCTGGCTGCGCCCACAGGCTGACAAGTGGGCCATGTGCTGTGTTTACAAGGGATATGGGGCAGTGGGATGAGCCAGCTCTGGGGCAGCTGAGTCCCATTAGTGCAGTGTGGGCACCTGTTTGCCTACTTGCTTGTGATCTAGCTCCCCGCTTATGCACTGTCGAAGGCAGTAATCGGAGCCCCAAATACTCAGCCCCTGCACCCACATGGGAGACCTGGAGGCAGCCACATGGAGGGTGGGCCAGTGGATGGAAGATCTCTCCCTCCCTGTCACTCTGCCTTTCAAATAAAACCATAAACCACTTCTTTAAAATATTCATTTCTTTTTGTTGGAAAGTCAGATTTACAGGGAGAAAGAGAGGCAGAGAGAAAAATCTTCTGTCTTCTGGTTCACTCCCCAAGTGGCCATAATGGCTCCAGCTGAACTGAACCGAAGCCAGGAGCTTCTGGGTCTCCCACGTGGGTGCAGGTTCCCAAGGCTTTGGGTTGTCCTCAAATGCTTTCCCAGGCCACAGGCAGGGAGCTGGGTGGGAAGTGAGCACCTGGGACATGAACCAGCGCTGATATGGGATCCTGGCACATGCAAGGTGAGGATTTAGCTGCTGGGCCACTGTGCCACTCTCCCTCTTGCATTGTGAAGTTGTCCGCCAAAAAGCCCTAGCATTCCCCTGGAATCTCTCAGGGTTTTAGCCACACCCCTTGCGGCCACTCCCTTGAGCTGTGCTCAACCTGGAGAGTCAGGGAGTGAGACCCTCTGATTTGCGGCCCAGCAAAACATGGTTGGGATCGTCCCCACCCCTTGGCTTGGGGCACCTTCTTGCTAGCTTCTGGTCTCCCCCTGTGTCCTGAGAGCAGCCAGTCAGTTCTCTAGAGCCAGCACACGAGGTGGTCTGCTGCTCTCCGCGTGGCCCTGCAGGAGTCTCACCTCCTGCACCTGGCCCCCTAGCCCATGCTTGCTTCTAGAATTTTGTTCTAGCAACACCTCATTTCGATTCCAGCAGGTCCGGGAGAGGACTCTCTGTCTGTCCCTGGGGCTGGGCTCAGCTCTGAGTCCTTCTGCTGCTGGCCGGCCCAGCAGGTCCTCTCCACTGGGGCACCTCCTGTATGCTTGCTGCCGCCCCACCTGTCAAGGTGTTTCCTCTGAAGCCACCAGTACACACCCACCCAACACAGTCAAGTCCTTTTTTCCCCTGGCTTTCTTTATTTTTATTGGAAAGTCAGATTTACAGAGAGGAGAGAGCCATAAAGAGCTTCCACGGAGGCAGGGCCCTGGGCCATCTTGCACTGCTCTCCCAGGCTGTTAGCAGAGAGCTGGATGGGAAGTGGAGCGCCCCAAGGGACACTGGCCTGCGGACTTGGGTTCCATTGTGGGGCTGCCACGACCGCCGGACTCCCTGGACCTCCCTGGGTTTCAGCCTCCAGTGGTCACCCAGCCCCGACTGTGCCCTGGTCCCGCGCGGGCCTGAGGGTGTCCACTGGCGCCCAGGGCAGCGAGGGGACAAGCTGGCAGCGTCGTGAGGGGTGCGCTGCGTCCTACCCTGAAGGTGTAGGATACTTGGAAGCCTGGAGACACCACGCTCGAGCCTCCCCGGAGCACCTTCAACTCTGTTTAGAGCCTCGGCCTCGGCCCCAAAAACCTGGGATTTGGGGTGCCCTGGGCCTGCAGGTGCACGGGGCGGGGCCAGGCGGGCTCAGGGGGCGGGGCAGCGAGGGGCGGGACCAGGCCAATTCGGATGGGCGGGGCCTTAGTGGGCGGAGCGGGCCAGGACGACTCAGGCGGGCGGGGCGGCGGCACGATGGGTGGGCAAGGACGACGGGTGAGCTAGGCTTTAGTGGGCGGGGCGGCATCGTGGTGGGCGGGGCGCCGCCGTGGTGAGCGGTGCCGCGGTGGGCGGTGCGGGCCGGTCACGACCCCTCGGACGTCCCGCGGGGCGGCCCTGCGGGTGGGGGACACCGACGGGGCGGACGGCAGGCGGAGGGCCGGGCCTGCCGGGGCGGCGGGGGAGGCCGGTCCCGCCGCGGGCTCTTCCGCTGCCGGCGCCGCCCCGTCCGGCAGGTGAGCCGCCCCGGGCCCCCGGGACAGCAGGGGGCGCCCTCGCCGCGGCTCGGCTTGCCCCGGGGGGCCGGAGCGGGTGCGGAGCGGCGGCGGAGAACGGCATGGGGCGGGTGCAGCTCTTGGAGATCTGCCTGAGCCACGGCCGGGCCGTCTACGGCCCTGGGGAGCCGCTGAGCGGGGCGGTGCGCGTGCGCCTGGCCGCGCCGCTGGCCTTCCGAGGTGGGTGCGGGGCGGCCGGGCGAGTGGGGGGGCCCTGGGGAGTGGGGGCCCGGGAGATTGGGGGACCCGGGGGAGGGGGGGGGCCGGAGGAGTGGGGGACCGGGAGAGTGGGGGGACCGGGGGAGTGGGGGACCGGAGGAGTGGGGGACCCGGGGGAGTGGGGGCCCGGGAGATTGGAGGACCCGGGGGAGTGGGGGGACCGGAGGAGTGGGGGACCGGGAGAACGGGGGACCAAGGGAGTGGGGTGCCCGCCGGGCTTCCGGCTTCCTGCTGCCCGCCCGCTGCTCCTTCAGGCGCGGCAGGTGCAGCGTGCGGACCGGGGACCGGGCTGTGTGTGTGGGACCACGTCCTTCCACTGGTGATCTCGGCCTGTCCCCTCGGGGGCCTGCCGATCGGGCTGCCCGGGCGGGGACGGCCGCTGTCCACCTTCAGCAGCCCCCAGATTGCCCCCCCCATCTGTGTTGCCACATAGTAGGAGACCAGGGGGAAGATCCCTGTTCTGTGCCCAGCACCCCTTTCCTGCCCGTTGTATCTCAGAGTAACCAAGGTTTGAGCTGGCAGTGCTTGGGTTGGTGTGAACAGGCTCCCTGGGCAGCACTTGCCTGGCCCCTGTGGGGAGGAGGTGGAAGTGAGCACTGGGTGAGGGCCCTGCTGAGGGTGGTTTCCCCTGGCACAGGGGCCAGAGGCTGCCTCCCTGGCAGGTCCTCCCTGGGGGCCTCTTAGGGTTACCCCAGTGTCCTGGGGCTGGATCCAGGCTGGGCAGTGGCCTGTGACTGTGTCTGCTGCCGCGTAGGAGCCTCTGCTGCCTGGGCCACCACCAGGGCTTAGGTCCCCAGGCTCTGCGTCAGCTCGCATTGCGACCTGTTCACCAGGACACGGCAGCATGCCTGACTGCTGGCTGTCCATCTGGGGGGTTAGGACGGCAGCCACTGGGTGTGCTGATGGCTGATGGCCGGTGAGGTGGGATGGTGCCTCGTCACCCCAAAGTTTATCGCGAGGCGGCACGGCCATCTTAGCATACCTTGCTCGTGGGTGTGGATTTGAGAGGAGGAGGTGAGTGAAGGGGTCTTGGGATGCCTGTGTCAGGAGGTGAGGGAGGCAGGGAAGGCAGCCGGTAGCCGCAGGTGACCAGGTCCCCTCCGTGGGGGCAGCTTCAGCTGGGCCTTCTCCTAGCAGGCTGGGGCACACATACCCATCTGTGTGTCTGTGGGAGTCCTGTTGCCCCGCTAGGGAGCAGGCTGGTTAGGCCTTGAGTCACTGCACAGGCAGGTCTGACCACATTCCTGCTGCCTTGTGCTGCCAGCTTCCTGGAGCCACTGGTGGCCTCACTGCCTGGCACCAAGGTGGCTGACAGGGCTGACCGGAGCCTACCCTGGGGGAAGCTGGGTACAGGACCGGGCCCTCAGCGGCCAGGCCCCTGTTGGGCCGGGGCGTAGGGGGGTGGCTGTGCTCACGCTGTCTGCCCTTGCAGCCATCCGGGTGACCTGCACGGGTTCCTGCGGGGTCTCCAGCAAGGCCAACGATGCCGCCTGGGTGGCGGAGGAGAGCTACTTCCACAGCTCTCTGTCCCTGGCTGAGAAGGGTGAGTCTGGGAGCCAAGGAGCCCTGGGGCAGTCCCCCGCCTACCTCTCAGGTCTGCCCTCTCCTGCCACAGCGGGCTCTGTGGGCACTGAGACATTGCTGCCTTCCCGGGTACCAGACTTGGCTCTGACTCTGGGTGTGGCCTGCCTCCCCTCTCCCCTCCTGTCCAAGCCAGGCCAGGCCATGCTGCTGTGACCTGGAGACGGAGAGGGGACTCAGGGGCCTACTGTAGCATAACTGGCTGGGTGCAGGGGCAGCTTGAGCTGGCAAGAGGCAGTGTGAGCCAGTGGAGGGCAGCGGGCAGTGGGGGGGAGGGCAGTGTACACTAAGCAGGTGCAGTGTAAGTGCCCGGGTGCAGTGGCGACCTGTGAGTGGCATGAGTCACAGCCAGTAAGGTGCAGGGAGCTGGTCAGCCCTCTGAGGACTGGCAGGGACGGCAAGGGCTCCTGTCCTGAGGCCTGGCTGCACCACCCTGTTTCTGCAGGGACTCTGCCTGCTGGAGAGCACAGCTTCCCCTTTCACTTCCTGCTTCCTGGTGAGAGCCTGCCTGGACGGGCCTGGGTGGCGGCGGTCCCTGGGAGGGAGCCTGGAGGCAGCATGCCAGTCCCTGTTCTCTTGCAGCCACAGCACCCACGTCCTTCGAGGGTCCTTTTGGGAGGATTATGCACCAGGTGAGGGCCACCATTGAGACACCCCGCTTTTCCAAGGACCACAAGTGTAGCCGCGTGTTCTACATCCTGAGCCCGCTGGACCTCAACAGCATCCCGGACATCGAGGTGAGCCGACCGCTGCTGCTGCGGGGCTGGGTGGGACATGGAGATGAGCCGGCCCTGCTGTGGCGGGGCTGGGTGGGACCTGACCTCTGACACTGAGTTCCCTCCTGCCCCCAAGCAACCCAATGTGGCCTCCACCACCAAGAAGTTCTCCTATAAGCTGGTGAAGACGGGCTGTGTGGTGCTCACGGCCAGCACGGACCTCCGCGGCTACGTGGTGGGGCAGGTGCTGCGGCTGCAGGCTGACATTGAGAACCAATCGGGCAAGGATACCAGCCCCGTGGTGGCCAGCCTGCTGCAGGTCTGCTCCTGCCCTGGCCGCCCTGTGGCAGGGGGGCCGGGGGCCTGTCATGGCCGGCGTGGGCTCATGGCTGGTCTTTCCCACAGAAGGTGTCCTACAAGGCTAAGCGCTGGGTCTACGATGTGCGGACCATCGCCGAGGTGGAGGGGGCCGCTGTCAAGGCCTGGAGGCGGGCACAGTGGCACGAGCAGATCCTGGTGCCTGCCCTGCCCCAGTCGGCCCTGCCGGGCTGCAGCCTCATCCATATCGACTACTACCTGCAGGTTCTGGGCTGGTGGGGTTGGGCCCAGGGAGGGGCTGGGGCAGGGGGCTGGTGTCTCACACTGTCCCCTCCTATGCAGGTCTCCCTCAGGTCCCCTGAAGCTACTGTGACACTCCCAGTCTTTGTGGGCAACGTTGCTGTGCACCCCGGCATGCTGAGCCCCCAGCCGGGCCCAGGGCTGAGTCCCATGGCTTCACGTCCTGTGGTGCCCTCGGCACCGCCCCAGGAGGAGGCTGAGGCCACGGCTGGCGGCCTCCCCTTCCCAGACCCAATCTTCCTCTCCACACAGAGTCATTCCCAACAGCAGGCAGCAGCAGCCCAGGGCTCTGAGCTCCAGGACGGCAGCCCTGTGCCCCGGGCCCCGCCCCTGTGCCTCTCTACTGGAGCCACTGTCCCCTACTTCGCAGAAGGCTCTGGGGAGGCAGTGGCCACCGCCTGCTCCGTGAGCCTCCCGCCAGAGTATAGCTCATGGGGCTACCCCTGTGGTAGGTGTAGGGGTGAGTCCTGGGGGGGACGGGGGCTCCATGAGCCCAGGCCGACGCTGTTCTCTCCCCACAGAGGCCCCACCGTCCTATGAGCAGAGCTGTGCTGCCAATGCTAATGGCAGCCTGACCCCTGGGACCTGACCTCCACGCTGCCTCTCCCTGCCTCCTGACCCTGAGAGCTAAACTTCAACCTCCATGCTGCCTCTCCTGGCCTCCTGGTCTCCATCTGTGCCTTCCTCGCCCTCTGCCCAGCCAACAGAGCACACCTCCTGGCAGTGCTGTGGACACAGGGACCCAGATGCCAAGTGACTGGGAATAAAGTACTTGCCCGCGGCGCTGGGCCGAGGACATCCTCCTGTGCCCATCAGGTTCAGGAGCCGCAGGGGCTCCCCTCCCTTGGCCTGCATGGTGCACCCTGCCTCCCACAATGCCTGGGCTGCTGCCATTGCCCCTGGTGCACTCCCCCACCAGGGGGCAGGGGTTGTGCAGGTGCCTGCTTGCCACCTGGGAATTCTCTGCCACCATAACCCTGCGTTCCAGAGGGAGGGGCCCCGTCCGGAATGTGAGGGTGGAAGAACCCAGAAGCCGGTTCTGTGGAGCCGGCACCCTGCTGTCGCCGAAAGCACCTGGCATGATGAAGAGGGGCTCGGCCCCCAGGGAGTCTGGCCGCTTTACCTGCAGGCTGTGGGAGAGGGGTGTGTTCCATCCTTCCCACGGGCCCACAGGGTTCATTTCCTGGACAATCCGGAAGGGTGGAGCCGGGCACTGGCCACTCCCACCTTGGTCAGGGCAGGTAATCACCTGGGTAATCACACCTCTGGCCATCCAGGTGTCCAGCTCAGTCAGCTGCGTGTGTGGCAAGGTGGCCACCGCTGGACTAACCTGGGAGACCCCTGCTGGAAGGAACCCCATCTTGGTGGAGATGGACAAGGCAGGTTGCTCACAGGTGACAGAGCTGAGGGCAGTGGCAGACAAAGCAAGGGTTGTGTGTGGGAGGCTGTGCTCACTGTAGTACCAGGGCTGCCTGAGGCCCGGGTCACAGCGGTGAGGACCAAACCAAAGAACCAGCCGCCCACCCGAGTGCTCCTCAGCTGGAGCTGGACAGAAGTGGGATGCAAGCATTGCCAATGGAAACTTTGCCCCTGCAGCCCAGTCCTGACACTTTGGCCAGGTAAAGGGCCTTCCTGTCTTCACTGGGTTTTGTCTCCCATAGGCCGGTATCCTCGGCTCACGGGTGTGGGGAGCTGAGGTTTCCATGGCGCAGGACGCTAGGTAGGTGGCGGAACTTGAGCCAGGGATAGGTGACTCTCCTGAACAGGGTTTTAAGTGCAGGAAAGGATGGAGCAATGCTGATGTCTTTTAACAGAGAGCTTCCATTCACTGGGTCACTCCCCAAACGGCCACAACAGCCAGGGCGGGCCAGGCTGAAGCCGGGAGCTCTGTTCAGGTCTCCCGGGTGGGTGCAAGGGCCCAGGCACTCGGGCCATTCCCTACTGCTTTCCCAGGAGCTGAAACCATCGCAGTGGCAGCGGCTTGCCACCCCGGGCCAGGAGGCAAGCCCCTGTGGGTTCCAGGGAAAGGACGGGGTGAATGTGGGAGACCCGGGTTGGCCAGTCGCCCAATGTCTGCAGTGCCAGGTCCCAGGGTCTGACTGCAGGGGAAGGCAGCGCCCGAACCAGTACCTGCCTCGCTCAGCTCAGGGCGTCTGCATCGAAACCCCGGAGGACCCTCCATGCAAGCACAGCTTTGCACATGCAGCAGCTCAGCTCGGGGCGTCTGCATCGGAACCTCGGAGGACCCTCCACACAAACACAGCCTTGATCGTGCAGCAGCTCAGCTCGGGGTGTCTGCATCGGAACCTCGGAGGACCCTCCACGCAAACACAGCCTTGATCGTGCAGCAGCTCAGCTCGGGGTGTCTGCATCGGAACCTCGGAGGACCCTCCACGCAAACACAGCCTTGAGCACGCAGATTACAATAAAGCACAAGCAGGGCGTACTGGGTGTGCGTGTTGTGTCGCGCGCCCGCGCTGGGGGAACCCTGGCTTAGTTCTGCACCCGAGGGGAGCCCCTGCGGGACCCACGGAGGCAGCCCTAGGCACAGCTGCAAGTCGGGATTGCTCACGCGGTGACGGGGCAGCCCGCGCGCCCCGGTCCTGACCCCGCACGGCTGCCCGCCTCGGCACGGCAGGGCGGGGAGCCCGCCGTGCGCACGCGCCGCCGGCGCCGGGCAGGAGGCGGGTCGGCCGTGCGCAGACGCCGGTCGGCGCAGCGCGCAGGCGCAGGCAGCCGCGCAGCCGCAGCCGCCTGCGCCGGCCCCGCCCCCGCCCTGGGCCGCGAGGCGGGGCGATGGCGCGCGGGCGGGGCGGGGCCACGCTGCGGGCCCGGGCCATGGCCGCCGTGGAGGCCGAGGTGAGGAGCGGGCGGCGGGCGCGGGGCCGGCGGGCGGCGAGCGGCGGGCGGCGAGACGGCGGGGCGGCGGGGCGGCGGGGCGGCGGGGCGGCGGGGCGGCGGGCGCGGGGCCGGCGGGGCAGCGGGCGGGCTTGCGGGCGGGGCGGCGCGGCCCGGCGTCCCCGGCCGCCTCGGGCCGCCTCAGGCCCGGCCGAGGCCCCGGCGCCGGCGCGGTGGCTTTGTGCGCGGGCCCCGGTGGCCTGCTGGGGCGCGGGGGGCCGGCCGCCCGGGGCCCGCGGGACAAAGGGGAGCGTGGCGGCCGGCCGGGCGGCCCGCGTCGGCGCCCGCCTCGCACTGCGCTCCGGCCAGGGCGGCCCCGCGTCTCCGCGCCGAGCTGGTGGCTCCCACGGGCGCCCCGGGCCTGGGCTTGCTCGCCGGGGCCGTCGGAGGAAAGCCGGGCGGCCGGGCGAGGCCTTGAGGACTCGGGCGCTGGGTTGCTGCTTGGCGGTTTTCCTGAGCGTGCGGGGTGCGCGCCCCGCGAGGGGCCCGTGTGGAGGACCTGGAGCTGCGGGTGGCCGCGGGGGCGCCCTTCCCCGGGCTCGAGCCTGCTTCCCCGGTACCTAGGAGCCGGCACATAGCAGGTCGCCTCTAAGGCCCGGGCCGGTGGTCCCGGCTGGCTGGCGGGGTCTGCAGGGCAGGTACTGGAAGGCAGACATGGTGCGAGGTAGACAGGTGCTGTGTGAGGTAGACAGGTACCGTGTGAGGTGGGTGCTGTGTGAGGTGGGCACTGTGAGGCAGGTACTGTGTGAAGCGGGTACTGTGTGAGGTTAGGTAGGTACCGTGTGAGGTGGGTGCTGTGTGAGGCGGGCACTGTGTGAGGTGGGTGCTGTGTGAGGTGGGTGCTGTGTGAGGTGGGCACTGTGAGGCAGGCGCTGTGTGAGGTAGATAGGTACTGTGTGAGGTGGGTACTGTGTGAGGTGGGCACTGTGTGAGGTGGGTACTGTGTGAGGTAGACAGGTACTGTGTGAGGTGGGTACTGTGTGAGGTGGGCACTGTGTGAGCAGGTGCACTGCTGTGAATCCTGGCAGCAGGTTGAGGAGGTGACACCGGGGCCACGTTGAGGCCAGGAGGGTGGCCTGGGCATCTGGCCAAGCTGGTGGTAGCTGAGCACGTGTCTGTTGGTCTCGGTGGGTTAGGAAGGCCTGCTGCTACCTGTTTGTTTCTGCATGGGGGGCACGGGGTCACTGCAGCCGGGGCCCTGGGCAGTGGCCACAGTTGTCACTGCTCTTGAGGGGAGCTGGCAGGTGCTGGCTCCTGGGTTCAGCAGGTGCTCCAGGCCCAGAGCCAGTGATGCTTGTGTCCATGAAGGCTTCTGTCCCAGCGAATGCTCTTCCAGCACCATGCCTGTGGTAGTTCTCTCTCCCTTTAAGACTTTATTTTATTTTTATTGCAAAGTCAGATATACAGAGAGGAGGAAGACAGAGGAAGATCTCCGCCTGTTGATTCATTCCCCAAGTGACCACAATGGTCAGAGCTGAGCCGATCCGAAGCCAGGAGCCAGGAGCTTCTTCTGGGTCTCCCACGTGGGTGCAGGGTCCCAAGGCTCTGGGCCGTCCTCCACTGCTTCCCCAGGCCACAGGCAGGTTGCTGGTTGGGAAGCAGGACAGCTGGGATACGAACTGGCGTCCACATGGGATCCTGGGATGTGCAAGATGACTTTAGCCAACTTAGCCGTCTCTGATCCTGCTTCCTCCTTGTCTGTGTTGCCCCCACTGAGTTGCCCCTGAACGTGACTGTCCCCACTGAGCGTCCAGGTGACTGTGGCCCTCCTGAGTGTCCAGGATGTCCTCGTGACTGTGTCCCCACTGAGCATCCAGGTGACTGTGTCCACTGAGCGTCCAGGTGACTGTCCCCACTGAGCGTCCAGGTGACTGTCCCCACTGAGCGCCCAGGTGACTGTCCCCACTGAGCGTCGAGGTGACTGTCCCCACTGAGCGCCCAGGACGTCCTGCACATTACTGTGTCCCCACTGAGCGTCCAGGTGACTGTGTCCACTGAGTGTCCAGGTGACTGTGGCCCTACTGAGTGTCCAGGACGTCTTCGTGACTGTGTCCCCACTGAGCGTCCAGGTGACTGTGGCCCTACTGAGTGTCCAGGACGTCCTCGTGACTGTGTTCCCACTGAGTGTCCAGGTGACTGTGTCCCCACTGAGCATCCAGGTGACTGTGGCCCTACTAAGTGTCCAGGATTGTCCTTGTGACTGTGTCCCCACTGAGCGTCCAGGTGACTGTGTCCACTGAGCATCCAGGTGATTGTCCCCACTGAGCGTCCAGGATGTCCTTCTTGTTGCGACTTTGCTGTTTATGGTACAGGGCAGCAGGTGCTGACATCTGGAGACAGGTTTTATTTATTTTGTTTGTCTGCTCTTTTTCTGACCCTCTAACGGGTCTGCCTGAAGTGTGGCTGGTGCGAGGCCCACTTGTGCTGCCCTCCGGAGCCCTGGCCCCTCTGGCGCCCTTTGTGTGCTCTGAGGCCTCCCTGTCTCCCCGTGACCTTCACTGTCCCCTGCCCTCCATGTGTTCTGTAACCCTCCCTGTCCCCGAGGTGGAGTTTGCGATCTATGAAAAGAGGAGAAACAGAAGCATTTAAGCGCTGAGTGGCAGGGCTGCCCAAGGGGGATCCTTGTCTGTAGTTTGTCGGGGAAGCAAGGGACCTCTGCCCTGGTACACCCAAAAGGATGTTTCAGGGACCTCACTGTTTTTTTTTTTTTTTTTAAGAAAGCCCATTCCATTACGTTATAAATTGTTACTGATGTAATGTCGGGGCTTTTAATTGATTGGGATGATATTCTTTCGGCTGTACCTTCAGACCAGAGACTGTCTCCCCATGAAACCGTTGAACTTATCTGCACAATAAGATGCTGGACACTATGCTTTATAGATGCTTGCAAGGGAAAAAATCTCAACTGAATTTGACCTGTGGTAATGCAACAAGATGGAAGAATCCACTATGCGGGGGGGAGCGGGTTTTGGGGAGGGGAGGGGGGAATCCCAGTGCCTGTAAAACTGTGTTGCATGATGCAATGTAATAAATAATAAAAAAAACAAACAAAAAAAAAGAAAAACAAAGATTTATTTATTTATTTTTATTGCCAAGTTACATATGTATAGATAGGAGGAGAGACAGGAAGATCTTCTGTCTGATTATTCACTCCCCAAGTGAGCGCAATGGTCAGAGCTGATCTAACCAGGAGCTAGGAGCGTCTTCCGGGTCTCCCCCGCGGGTGCAGCGTCCCAAGGCTTTGGGCCGTCCTCTGCTGCCTTCCCAGGCCACAGGCAGGGAGCTGGGTGGGAAAGTGGGGATTAGGACCGGTGCCCATATGGGATCCCGGTGCATTCAAGGCGAGGACTTTAACTGTTAGGCCACCACACTGGGCCTGGGACTTCACTGTTTTATGTCCCACCTGTTGGCATGTTTCCTGCTTCTTGTCATAGAAGACAACTTTTATTTTTATTTTTTTAACTTAGAATTTTTTTATAAAGGCATATTTTTGAAAATGTTCATTTTTGCTGTTTACATGGTTGTCAAGAATGCAGGCCCATGAGGACGACTGAACAGGATGGGGGACAGTGGGTGGGACAAATGCTCCAAACTTTCCCATTCTTCCCTTTTCTCTAAAGGAAGGCTTTACAGAGAGAGAG